AGAGGGTCTCATCATTCCAGTGCGGGTTCACCACACGCAAGGAGGTGGCGATCTGGTTGTGCCGGCGCACGAACATCAGGTGCATCGACATGAGGGACGGGTGTTGATTACAGCGGGCGTCACCCGCAAAGAAACACTGCATACCGGCCGAGGGAGGGCTGCACTCGTTATTCCAGGGGGCGGGCGTTGTGGGCAGGATAGGCTTTCCGTACCGGTCCCGACCCGTCTTAAGTAAACCTTTAATGAAGTGGTTGTCACTGATTAGTCTAATGGTGTGTTTAGTTTAGTTACGAGAAAATGGTACCGAATTTAAAGGTCCGGAGGGGCGTCGACTCGTTGCCGGTGTTTCCGTAAACAGTGCCGGCGTCTAAGAAGGAGGTGGCGATATTGGACTGTTGTCTCGGCCCTGGTATGTGATATAAACACCAATTGATTGTCATGTATATAAATCAGTCAACTATTAGATGGTATACCGAGTTCGCAGAGAGGACAGGGAGCCGAGCGAATGAAGTTAAGGCACGTGTTGTTAAACTTTCTGTACTGATAGTCGTAAGGCGTGGGCTCTATGCGGATGGGCAGACACTGGCGGGTGTTTGGGTTACGGCAGCAATCGGTGGGCGCGCTATAACTACCGGACAGGGCGTAGCTGAAGAACACCGGGGTATGGGTTATGTCGTGATTGACGAACTGTCCAAAAGCCATCTTCATGTGCGTGTAAAACGACTCAAACGGCTGATCGGAGGTCATTATGTTTATGAGGGTGCGAGGGCTGGGCAGCTGCGAGCCGTCGTGGGCCAGTCGGGGCGCCTGAAAGCCGTCGGCGTAGTCGGGCGGCAGTAGTCTCAGGTGACAGACGTACGACTTTCCCCAATACGGGTGCCGTCTGTTGTTACAACTGCCGTCTATCGTGCGGTACTTGCTGTTAAACTGGGGGCACTCCAGGTTGTATCCGTGTCCACCATAACTCGAGTAACAGCTGGTGTCCCCGTATTTGTTACGGAAGTACTGCTGACCGATGTTCACCTCCGACAGGAAAGTCGTCGTCTGGTATTTACTCAAACATTTGCTGTCAATTGACAAACACTATGACATTAACTCGTAATCAAAATGACATTGATAACTAATAATGAAAGAATATTCTGTTATTTACTATTTAGCCATATATTCGGTTACGTATTCCATAAGTGTGGCCTCTTTTTCCTTGAGCCTGAGGGGCGGCATTTGGTTTGTGAACATCGAGTAGTTGCCGTACAGCCGGTCGTAGTCCCGGAGCTGATGGTGGGCGTAGTCGAAGGCCGACTCCATGTCCTGTTGCGTGATCTCTGGCGTCCGTTTGTAGTGCTTGGCACACGTGCCCGAGTAGTAGAGGTAAGCGCCGGTAGATAAATACGAGCCGTAGATCTGTTGAGCGTTGTATCGTTTGCCAGAGAAGTACTGTTGAGTATTGTATGAGTTGGTGCCATACGTGCCCGGAATGGACTGGTATGGCGACCGAAGCCTAGTCCGGTTGTATGGCTGACCACCCGGTGCGCCATTAGTTTGATTGTATGTCTTATAATTGAATTGATTGTACGGCTGATGGCTAGGCTGTCGGTAGTTATAGTTATATCGGCCGTACATAAGGCGCAGGTACTGATAGTACGCAGGGTTTCGGTAGTTTTGATAATAGACAGGGTATACACACACAATGAAAATATGTATTATTTCACAGTTTCACAGCTAGTATTGAATTTGAAGTCCAATTCTTATACGATTCCTATTGTTATGTTAAATACTCATTTTATAAATATACTCATTTAAAAACAAAATAAATATTTCCATCAAAAGTACAGAATTTAGTAGTTTTCATACAACCACTAAAGAGTTAACCACTAGTTTATGCCTCATTTGATATTTCAAATTATAATTAGACCCGAATTCATATACTTCAAGGTCTAGAGTTCATTGCAAACCAGTCGCCTAATAGCGGGTAATCTTTTCATACGATACCTAAGCCTAACTGTCCATAATTGTGCGTAGGCTGTGTCTTATGTAATCCTAAGCTACTGTTCCCCCTAATTATCATGTGTTCCATAAAAATTTCTCTTTAATAATACGATATCGTCAATGAGTTTGTCATTAGTCCGCACCTTATAATCTAGGTTTTGAAGGAAGTCAAGTGCTGTTTACTGCTCTTTGTATGCCTATCCATCACTACACTTCTATGGGTGCCCTTACAGGTAAGTCCTGCACATACCTGTGCGAACACATCCAAATACCGACACATTAGGTTTTGAAGGAAGTCAAGTGCTGTTTACTGCTCTTTGTATGCCTATCCATCACTACACTTCTATGGGTGCCCTTACAGGTAAGTCCTGCACATACCTGTGCGAACACATCCAAATACCGACACATATTAATTTATAAACCAAATACACACAAAAGCCAATTGAATGATACTGTATAGCATACATGCATCACATGAAAGGCATATTATAATACTCTCGGAGAATGTTATGTAAGATTTGAAATGCAAAACATAAGCAACAAAGAGATCGCATATACGAGTGGCTAATAAAACAAACGCCATTCATCTCACAAATTAGGACACAAACAGATTATGATTATGTATTATATGTTATTATGAATATAATAGCACACAGACAGACAGGTCTCACACCATTCACGCAGACATACATTCACTTTCATTTGAATACTAGTGAATACATATTTGAAAGTTTTTGAAAGTTTGCAAACTTATCTCGGTTTCGCCCCAACAGTTCATATTTCTGCGCTCGTGTTTCGTGTGGAGCGCCTGTGTCTCCCAGCAGATGCTACTGTCCTACGGGTGCCTATTCTCGGGTCTGGTGTTGGTATTGGTGCGGATCCTATTGTTTTTGCAACTATTGAGAGCCCACCGCAACTTCGGCTACGGTCTCGCCGACTCAGGTCTCGATCAGACATTTGTCTTAAAATACAAGCATTTATTTCGTTGTCTGTTCACTGTATCCAAGAATTAGCTATTGTTGTATAATGTGATGTTTTTAGTTGAGTTAAATATTAGTTTAACATTTTGTATATAAGTAGAAAATTAAGTTTTTAAGAGATTTATATATTGTTTTTACTCTTTCCTGTGATATGATTAGCGTTTGTGGGATTAGTTAACGAAACGACTCGTCTATTATCACGAAACGATCAGAGAAGACGATCACAATTATAAGACTTTTCATCCATTCATTACAATTGTGTAAAAAGTTTTTTAATCGTAACTAAAGTGTGTAAAAAGTCTTTCTCTCGTAAGCATTGATTGTCAAATCATTTTTATATAAAAAATACGATTATTTTGTTCACTAACGATAAGCATATATTCTACTAGTCTTTTAAATTTAATTATGTTTTTAAGGTTTTATTTAAGAAACTATTTTATACTCTTAAGTCTAACTCCGTATTTATAGTCCAATTATTCATCTTGATGAATGCGATAATAAATTTTTTGATTTATTTTTATTACCAATTGAAATAACTTTGAATTCATTTACATCGACAATGACTTTGAATATAATGAATGCACCAGTACAATATATTATGTGCACAATAGCAATGTATTGACTTTTATTCTCATATTTACCTTCACTTTAATAATAATATAATAGTAATTGACTATTATATTTATATCATTCAATGAATATATTCTGTAGTTTAGATATACACACAATAATTGTGATCTAAAAATATCTCCTTTCCCTGATATACTTAAGGACTTTGTTTTATTTATTAGGAAAACCTTATATTTTATTCAATGAATAAAATTATTGAAATTCTTATAGACTTCTAGACAGTAATATCGAGTGTGAAAGAAATATTTGAATTATTTATGAATAAAAATATTCACAATCGATTAGATATACTAAAGCTATTGTCCTTTATATTGATATTGGTATATAGGTTGTTAATGGAAAATACAATATGTTTTTTACTATTTGTTCACAAATCTCTTCCCAAACAGTTTTGAATTGCGAAAAAAACTATAAAATAATAATAATAATAATAATAACAATATTATTAATAAGTCTATGAAAATAATCGTTTAATTGAATTGCGAAGAGAAAGTGTTTTGATATTGACTTTAATTAATAAAACAAATGAGATTCATTTAAAACTACAGAATAATAGCTAGTAAGTAGTGATAATAAAAAAGTGATTTTTATTGTTTTAATAGCCAAGAGAGAGAAACTGGTGTTTGACGTGTGAATAGCAAACATCACTCACTGATTGTGCTCTAACTTTCATTTAATAACTTTATGAAAAGTTTTGTATGAAATATATGTGTGTTTTGGAGTGAGTCTTGTGGTCATGACATATAAAGGCTCTGATGAGGGCTTAAGAGAACCGTTAACTCTGTGTTCAATGCAATGATAGAGTTAGTGATTCGCGTGTCTCTCACTCTTTAGTGTGCAATGAATTTGTCTGTCAATTGGTCTCAAAACATCTCAAACGTATCCAACACTTGACTACAAAACAATGATTAAAGTGAAAGTGTTTTGCTTTTTGTTACTTTTGTGGTAAGTTTTTCTCACTCTCTCACTCACTATAGCTTTTCTGTAATCATCCTAAAGCTCCCTCTCTCTCTCTCTCTCTCTCTCTCTCCACAAACTTTCTCCGGATATTTCTAAACCCCCAATAAATCGGATAATAATCTCATCTAATCCGCAGCCAAATCAGTGTCTGTATTGTCGGTGCTTCTGATGCCCACAAGAATAGTGAGGAAAACATTGATACAAATAATGTGAACGAAAAGTGTCCGCAGCTTTCGTTCAGTGATAATGACATCGAAGTGGCGCTCAATAGAGCCCAACAAATGAGAGACAAATTAAAACACATTGAGAGCGATATCCAAACGAAAGGCCTGTTCATCGATACGACAAAAATATCGGCCGCCGCTCGACATCTCATTCCCTCTCAGAATAAACTCTATTTACGGGAATTACACGAAAATCAGCGCTTCTTCGAGGATGTGTCGCGACATTTGATACAAAAGTAAATCTGTTTTAAATGTATTTTCTATTGTTTTTGATGATCACTAAAACTTTGTCATCCATTGTCTTTCGACACCAATAGTCGAAGTCTGAGTCGAGAGGAAGCCCTGTCTCTAAAGGACTCTAACGTCGAGTCGCATAAACTGATTCGTCGGAAACGCCAGACGTGTCGCTCCCAACAGCCCGTCCCGTGCGTTAAGAGTCGCTTCCGTACGGCTGACGGCAGTTGTAATAACGCCCGCAATACTCGGTGGGGAAAGTCGTTTGAATGTGTGGCCAGACTTCTGGACCCGGAATATGCGGACGGTTAGCATAAATTCATATTTACTAATCACTAAATTCTCTCAATTCATGCCTTTTGTACCCAAATCAGGAGTATCTGTGCCACGAGTGGCCCGTTCCGGTCGACCACTACCTAACCCTCGCATACTGTCGGTGACGATTCACCCGCAGGAGGACTTCAGTGCCAACTTCACCCATATGTTGATGCAATTTGGGCAGTTCCTCGACCACGACATCTCCCTGTCCCCTGTGACCCAACTCCGCTCTGGTGGCATCCAGTGCTGCCCCCGACCCACACACCCGGACTGCTTCGAGATACCCATCCTTCCCAACGATGGCTTCTTCAACCGGATGGGCAAACGGTGTATCAATTTCGTGCGATCCATACCGTGCGAGTCGTGCCGTACCGGCGCCCGACTCCAGATGAACGAGTTGTCCGCTTTCATAGACGCCTCCAACGTTTACGGCAATAGTCTGAACGAGTCGTTCGCGCTCCGGGATAAGGACGGTATGGTTGCTATGATAGTCTTATTTAGTCAGTTATTGATTGGTGTTTTACTATTAGGTCTGTTAGCCGTCGGTCTCGACAGGAAAGGGAGACATATTTTGCCCGAAAGTAATAATATAGCCAATGATCAGTGCAGTCGACCCAACAAAGTATGCTTTCGCGCCGGCGATAACTCCCGCGTCAACCAACACCCGGCGCTCACGACTTTGCACACACTTTGGGTACGAAAATAATATATAAATTACTTTTGTTTTAATTGTATTGTTTTCAGCGTAATTACCAAAACAACACTTAATTGTTTTTTTTCAAATGTCTTTCCCTCTCAGATGAGACAACACAATAGGGTTGCCTCAGCTCTCAAACAATTGAACCCGTCGTGGGACGCCGAGCGTGTGTTTCAAGAAACCAGGTCACTTTTATAGACATATTTAAAAACACGGTGTTATTTTAGTAGACAATTTCTAATTGTACTTGCAATCCATGTATTTATTAGGCGTATAATCGGCGCCCAAATGCAAATGATAGCCTACAATGAATTCTTGCCAGTAGTTTTGGGTCCAAAAGTCATGCAATTTTACAAACTAAACATTTTGGGCACCGGTTTCACGAAATACGACCCTGCTGTCAACCCCTCCATACTATCGGAGTTCTCGACGGCAGCCTTTCGGTTCGGGCACAGTATAGTGAACGGCAGGTTCTCTCTCATCAGCTCATCCACGCCCTCCCAGAAGTCATCCTACAATCTGAGGGACAACTTCTTTACGCCCACTCGTATGCACAACGGACAGATGGACTTCATTCTCAGGGGACTGGTGGGTCGGAACGCCCAAAGATTTGACCCCTTCTGTCACGGAGACCTCCGTAACCATCTGTACCAACCCAGGGGACAGGTGTCCGGCTCAGACCTACCCGCTATGAATATACAGAGAGGTCGCGATCACGGGATACCCGGTTATGTACATTACCTGCGGTTTTGTTTCAATGAAGTAATGATTTTTGAGACACACTTTGAATGAGATTTTATGGTAATTTGTTGTGTTTTATGTCTTCAGCAAATCACATCGTTTGAACAATTGGATCAATACATGCCGTCGAGTCAGAGACAGCGGTTCCAACAGAACTACCAACACGTCGAAGACATTGACCTCTTCTCCGGTGGCATATCGGAGCTGCCGATGAACGGTGCGATAGTCGGGCCCACGTTTGCCTGTATTATCGGCACTCAGTTTAATCACTTGAAATCTGGAGACCGTTTCTACTTTGAACACGAGGGACAGGACGGCTCATTCACCTCTGGTTTGATTACTTTATAACTATCAATAAATACCAGAAGTTTAATAGATTTGTGTCTCGATTTTCAGGTCAATTACAGGCCTTACGAAAGACATTGTTTTCGCGAATCATTTGCATAAACGGCGATAACTTTAAAGAAATTCATTCAAAAGTGTTTCAATTAAATAGCGATAGGTATGCATAAAATCAATTAGAGTTTTAATTCACATTTTTTATTAAAAATGATTTAATCTCTGTATTGACTAACAGTGACCCCATCCGACCCTGTGATGACATCCCAGACATTGATATCAGCCAATGGCGCGAATAAAATAGATTAATGTTTTATAATTAAGTCATTTATAAATAAAATGTTTTTGTGTACATTAATTAAAACTTAACTCTGTCTATTCATATAACTTTCTTATTCGCTAGTATATTATATAAATTGTCTAATTTTATTGTTATTATTTTTATTTCTATTATTAATAATGAGTGAAATAAAGAGTAAAAATCAAAACCAAAAGCCAAACATTGAATGTCAGCAAATTTTCATTCACTTTTCACAACCACAAAACGCTGATATCAACAACTATTTCATGTGACTATCACTAAAAAATTCATATCCTGTTAATCGATCAGACATTGGATCCACAAATTTTCGTATGACTTATCATAGAAAGACTTTTTTCAAAGGCAGCAGTTGTTGCCATACTATTCAGTAGTGAATAGTTTTTAGTCGATTCTGTGGTTTTTTGTCAAAAATTTTTCTGTGACTTATTGGCGATCAAAATGAATCGCAAATTGAGTCATACATTTAATCCACGTCTTCGGTAATAAGCTATTCAATGAATATTTTGGTTATAAAATGAGATAAAAATACAACAATTTTTGTTTGCCTTCAAACCATTTCAGGACGTGTCTCACCATTTGTCTGATTGTCTTATTCTCAACATTTGTAACCATCAAAGCGGAGGAATCTCTTCTGAAGAATGAAGAGATTGAGGATAAAAATGAGGAGAAAATTGAAACTGATTTTAAAGATACAGACTTTAAAGACACGGACTTTAAAGACAAAGACATTATAGACAAAGATATAGTGAAGAACAATGACGTCTATCCGGATCCTAATGAAGAATACACCGGGAACAATGAATATTCCGGATATTCCGGTGGATATGACCCTGATACTGGATACGGACAAGTCAATGGTTACCCCGACAATGGATATGGAAATGATAACTATAATAACTATAATAATACCAACGGATCCACGAATTACACCACCGATAATGTAATCATAAATTTTTCTATCATTTTGTGTTTGTTTTAAGTTTTTACAAATAATACAATTTAATCGCTAGTATTATGCCGGCAGCAGATATCATAAACCTAATGCTCCCGCGGCCTATACCTTCCCGGGTGCTGTACATTACGTACCGGTGCCGGTGGTACCCCCTGTCTATTATCAAAACTACCGAAACCCTGCGTACTATCAGTACCTGCGCCTTATGTACGGCCGATATAACTATAACTACCGACAGCCTAGCCATCAGCCGTACAATCAATTCAATTATAAGACA